ATGCAAAGTGATTTTTTATTATGTATCTAAAAACATTGTTTCATCCTTCTCTACTGTGCTACAACTCGAAACAAAACTTGTTTTATAAGTCGTCTATTTATACAAAGATCACATACTTTGTACAAGCTTATAATTTCTTATTACTTTCCATTGCCCCTTGTTGTAGCAACCTGTATTCCCTGCTTCCTATCGTTTGCAAACTTGTACCTGATTTAATTGATACTAATGATAGTATAAAGTTTATAAATAAAAATGATAAAGTTGATAAATAAACATGCTAATGTTGATGAATAAAATTGATAATATTGAGTGGCATATTTTACTATGATGCCAGAGTTACCAAATAAACAAATTGCCTGCAGTGGACTCGGGCTATGAACTATTCTTCAGCAGTATAGTTACCTATCCCTTTCAAAGCCAGACGAAACTGTATTCAAAATGAAAACACAATAGCAGAAATCATTGTCATTGATTCCATTATACGTGGAGCATTTATGACAGGGATTTGATGTGATGAAACAAAAAAGTATCTTGTCTTTTATAATAAATTATGATACAAAAAAGCTTGATCACTGAGATTTGTCCCTATGAAGCAAGAATTGATTTGAAGATAGTAATTACAAATAAACATGTTAATAGGAATGTTTTGCTGCATATACATAATTGTATGCCTTTGTGAGGCCTTATTGAATTTACCCTGAACTACTGTATAATGACAATTGTAAAAAAAAGGAAGAAAAAAATGTTAAATTCTGTACTATTCTTAGCCAATATGTATTCTATCATGTTTACATCCATTTTATTTCATATTGTATGGCTTTCATTCATTCATTGTTATTACTTCATTCTGTATATTGATCAACAAATTATATATTTATAGAAAATTAAAGAGAAAAAAAATGTTCAGACATGAAATTTTGTGGTGTGAAACTGTTTTTTTGATTTGTACGACTCGTTGTGATGGAGTGAACAGACATGATTTTAGTTTTTATAATGAAGTTCAAATACTGTTTCCAGATTACGCGTTCATGTAAGGAACTGGTAGTCGCTATCATGCAAGGTACTGTACTTGTACTGGTAGTTGCTACATTTTAAGGCTTGTTCAGATACGATGCGGTAACCCACCGCCCCCCCCCCCCCCCTAGAAACACAGCATTCTCTTTTGTCCTTGCAACAAAGGTCCTGCACGTATTCAGTTCACAGAGCCCTGTGTTGCAAGATACAGAAATGTGAAATGCATTATACTTCACATCATCATGAGAAAAGCCATGGTTTTGCCACATCATATCTGAAGGAGGCCTTATTATTAAAGGGATCGTTTAACAATGTTAAATCTGAGATACACGGCCATACGTGTTATCAGTGTCTGTGATATGGTGTAATATTGAAGCCCTAAAAAAATTGCGCTTCAAAATGATCAAGAAGTGCCTCAAATAAGTAAAAATCTTTGAGTGACCGGTTTTACCATAAACATTTTCCCCAATAGACTGTAGTGTTATGAAAACCGTCAGGTGAACGGTTTTCAAAATTTGTAATTCCAATCATAAATATCTTGAAAATCAGACAGGCGATCGGCTTGTAAAAGTCATGGGGTTCCTGACTAACCTAAAGGTTTATAATTATCATTGCGTCATGAGCTAAATCCAGAATTTTGTTTCAGAATCTGAGACAAAGTTACCGGATCCCTTTAACTTCTAGAATTTGTTTTCTTCTTCACTTCATCTTCATCCCCTTCCATACACACATCCTGCACAGAGTATGATGTCTCCACTAATTGCGTGATCCCCAAGATTCACATCCATTGGTATGAATGAAAGGACCCTCTCTGCACAGCAATGTGGGCAGATTGGGGTCAGGCAACATGGAAACAGTCCAGGCATTGGACTACAATGCACCATCGATTTTAATATCATATTTCAGGCTGAATGACCCCCCCCCCCCCCCCCCCCCCCACACTCGATTTTTTACTATATTGGTTGTCGTAAGGGCAGTTATCAATTCAAAGCATCTGCACTTTACTATTCACACTCAATCATACCATGGGCAAAAAAAACTTGATATCTTTTCAAACGATCGCACTGTACTAATCGCAATCAAGCATCAATGCAAGAAATCCTTGTTTGCAAAGGTATTTGAAATGTCTTCAACTTTCAACCACTCGTCTAAAAGCGTTTTGTGTCCTTTTGAACCCATACTGTTTCCGATCTTATTTAGAATTTATCCAATTCCTGCATTGCATGAAGCAGATTCTCTTTCTGTAGAAATTATTAAGTTCTTTCCCGAAAAGGTTTAGGTCCATTAATTACAAGTACACCTCACTTGTAACAATGCACACTCTTTCCTCTCTTTTGCTTTTTTCTCGTCAGCCCCACTTTTAAAGACAATACTGAAAGAACTGGAAGAGCACACACAATCTAGTTCTCTTTTGTTACTTTTATCATTCAAACAAATCAGCGATTTTCCACTTGAAAAATTGAGTATTTACAATTAAAAAGATACATAAATATATCGGTGGACTTGCATTGCTCATGGTCGATGACATTTGATTGCTAAAAAGATGACATACTTTACAAATTTCTTCAAGGTCACATAAAAAAATTGTTGCATTGGGATAGATTGAAAATTCAATAATTATAAAAATCTTAAATACTGGTTACCTCTTCGTTATATTGGTAAAAGTTTCTGTACAATTGCACACTTGTTGGACATTTAAATTTTCTAGTTTTCCCTAATCATTGTGCGACATCATCTTTTTCTCCCTTCAAAGATAAATAATGTAATATGATTTTTTTTAAAAGTTTTTATTAATCGCTACCTCCACTCACATCCTCATAGGCACAGGTTTAACTCCCTTGCTAACATTACCAAAATTGTAATTTACTTTACATAGTGTATAGATATGAATGCAGAAATGGCAGTATTAAAATGTATAACCATAAATTACATGTACATATTTACAAATTCACAGATATTATGACAATACTACCTACAAAAAGGTATCGCAAAGTCACAGTCGTTTCAATCATATTTTGCACCAATGAATTATTTCGTTAATTATCACATTTCATTGCTTTCAAAGTGTCTGGAGGTAGACTCACTATGATTTCTATAGTGATACGAGATCCTTTCTAGCAATAATACATGTAGATAAAACAATAAAATAGCATTTGATTTGTACAAGAAGTTTTCAATAAAAGGAGACTGAGCATTTGGCTAGTGTAAATATAATACAAAAATCATGTTTCCCTCTCTCAACACAGGCATAACCTAAGGAGATCGTTGAATTTGTGACAACCATTGAAGAAGAAAAAATGGTTAGCAAAGCCAAGAATCATTAACAAATATTTTTTTCCCCCTTTCTTTGCCTACCGGTATTTGAAAAATGTCAGCTTACAATTAATCAATTAAGTACAGACATTGCCCCCCCCCCCCATTTAAAAAGGGTCTAGTGATGCCCCTACTCTTAGATTCAGTACCGGGTAACTGTTGAAAAATTAAAATATACACTGAATCCAATTGAAATGTACATTGAATCCCAATGAAACATACACTGAGTCCCAATGAAATATACACTGAATCCCAATGAAATATACACTAAATCCCAATGAAACATACACTGAATCCCATTGAAACATACACTGAACCCCATTGAAATGTACCCGAATCCAATTGAAATGTACACTGAACCCCATTGAAACATACACTGAACCCCATTGAAACATACACTGAATCCCAATGAAACATAGTATACACTGAATCCCAATGAAACATACACTGAACCCCATTGAATAATTTAATGTAACTCAAGATATTTTCACAACTCTTAATCACTTGAACTTTATGGATCTATTTGACTGATTTAACGATAACTCCCTATGTTTAAAACATGTTTTATTAAATTCTGATACAAGTACATGTACATGAATTCCATAAGAAGAAACATAAAACCCTCAGCATGCCATACTGTACTCACACATTTGAGTTTGAAAATACATGTACCGTAATGCCACATCCTTATATCGTACATAAAGTGGTCTTGATACAAATACATCAATAATTATATTCAGCATCAACACAGAAAAGGAGAACAAGGTATAAATATCTAGTTTCAGTACACAATAAAAAAAAAGTACTTTACAAGTTACACACATTTCAACAACTTAAGTACCATTTTTCAAAATACAGTGTTTGAATTGGAAACTTGTGACATACTTTTTGACTTCAGCATTCAATTCACAATGATAAAACTATCCTCCATTACATCTGCCACAAAATCCCACAATCAAGAATTAGTATTCTGTTTGTTTTTGCTTTCATTTTGCTCACAAACAGGTACCTTACTTAATGTGAAGTTGAAAACTAATGCCTGGGATATGCAGTTCTTGACTTTTCTAGCCTTTTGCCAGTTTTAAGAGAAGGTTGAGTTCTGGGAAGAGGTGAAAAATAATTTGTGAGCATTACTCATTCTTATTATGCAAGTGTGGAAGAACATCAGTTAAGACATGTTCCCTGAAAAGCATGGCTCTTCAAATGCCTTTATATTCTAAATATGCATGTAACATCGTAAAAATCGGGGGGGGGGGGGGGGGCGGCTTTTTACGCCACGTGTTCGTGTAGTCCCATATACATTTTTCTGTGTACAGTGTTTGTAACTTTACCAAGACTTGGCCAAATTTCTTACCATTTTGATGATTCCAGAACCTTGCAATACACACAAATTCTTATATGCTAGATGATCAACCTTTTCTGGTCGGTTCCACACCGTTTCTTTCACAATGCAATCGCATGACCAGAACTCAACTTCATCTTTAGTATTCAAGCAAATAGTTTTGAACCTGTTGTACTGTTTAATTTAATGCTTGATTTAAGTGTTCATATAGCCATTTCACACATGCATTCCAAAGGAGGTCTTTTGTAAAAGCCAAACAGCGCAAGCAAAAAATCACTCATACATCATCTCATGTGAACTTGAAATCTAACGCCTGTGAATGGCTAAGATTCATTGAATATTGGTCTAAGAATTTATTAAAGTTCCAAATTCAAGGTTCTATTTAAAAAGAAGTTACATAGGATATTCATAATGTCATTGTATTCAGAACTTTCAATCTATAAGATAAAAGAAGCTTCTCAGCAAAATTGTGTAAAATACATGTAGTACTGTTTCATAAAATTTCATAAAAATGTCAATACTGCTTATCATTCATAAATCTAACACTTAAAAGAAAAGTACCAATAATGTGTAAAGATATAATCATGGGTATTTTAAAAAGAAAGCAATACAATATACATGTAGCCAAAATTAGCTTTCCAGTACTCCCCTTCCGAATAATCAAATTAATTTGAAAACACAGTTTGTGATCAGCATGTGAATAAATGAACGAGAACAATCTAGCATGAGACAAAACAATCAAAGGACACACAATGTATGTGCACAGAAGATGCAATAAAACAACATATGAAACTGGAACATTTCAAGGCTTAAAATTGGTAAAGTTTAAGACTTATTGCAGCTCCCACATAATTATTAAGTATTTGAAAATATCATACAATTATTTCAAACTTGCATGCCAAAAGAGGTCTTTTGCAAAAGATAAACACCACAGACAAAGCTCGTTCCAGAAAGTACCCAACTCGCGTAACTGTTACCAAATGAAAATACGAGGACAGGGAGAGGTGTACACAGTATGACCGTTTGTTCTGGCATGATTAATTTGAGAGGTTGTGACAGGACTATCGTCATGACGATGAGAGATGGAATACTGAGAGGCAGGGTTAGGACCTCCAGGATGGCAAAGACACCAATCAAATCCGTACACAGAAGGGAGTACTTGAAGGAGAAGAACAAGAATTGGCACATGCAAACGGCAAAGATAGTACTGGTTCGCATGGGTGCCCGGAAGTTGGGGAACATTGTGAGGTCCTGCTGCAGGCAGAGGAGGATGATGGATGCTCCAGAATTCCATATCTCGGCAAATGGGATAGGGTTGCTGAGGACTGCCAAAAGGTAGGTTATGATGGTGAGGATGTTGCCGTAGGTTGGGATCAGACCTGGTTTGTAGGTGAAAGGATTCTGAAGCTGCCACTTGAGACAGAAGAGTCTGAGAGTGATTGCAAGGATGCCATAGATAGTGCACAAGAAGGATGTTGACGGAACCTCTGAGAGAGCATCCCACCATGATGGTTTAGTGAGATTGAGAAGGTTTTCGAGGAAAATAGATAGCGAGGTCATGAAGAAAGCAGTAAAGGTCGCATGCAGGAAGTAATCCTTGACTAAATGTGTGAGATTCCTATCCTTCCATTCAATGGAGTATCTCCACAGCAGTAGCAACATGATGAGGACCTCGACACAGAGCGCAGCATATGCAACGCTGGACAACCGACTAGCCAAAGGCTCTACGAACCCACATGCAGTCACACCTACAGGTATCCCAAGAAGCAGCCCTCCAACTGTGGCGTAGAGTCGAGGATGAGGAGGCGGGATCAAGGAACACGAACTGGCCAAGAGAAGCACAGCAGCCATCTCTATCATGATGACTGACCACAAAGACATGTGTTCCTTCACGACCGGCGCTTGCATTAGCAATGAAAACCCACTGAGAAACAACATCAATCCACTCACTCTAAAACCATTGGGGTTCTGCTTCATATTGCACTTGGTCAGCTTACATGCAATAAGACTAGTCACCATCAAAACCAAGAGCAAGACCGCCACAAAGTTTAAGTGGTCTGAAAATTGCAGTACCACAGGTAGCATCACATTCAAGATAAAAGTAGGTACACTAACAGCTGTAAAGAATAGGTATCCAATGATTTTCTTTGGTGGAAGTTCCTCTTGATCTTCATATACAAGGATCCTCATGGTGATTACTACCAACGCAACGCAACTGTAACTGGCAAGAGTTCCAAAATGGGTCTCACTTTCTGATAATCTTAAAACGTATAGTAAGAAAAAAGGAAGCTTCATTGAGTGAATACTGGTAGTCAACCAAAGGCAAAGATGGGTGACCTTTGAGCTCGCATGTAGCCTGGCAAGCACATACATCTGAAGCAGGAAGGTTAATACAGCAAGATAATGCAGATAGAGGCCTCGAGACAGGAGGAAGCATTCTGAATGGACAAGTAATGCTGTCTGCATTAGAATGCAGAGTGAGAGATAAGCAGAATACTTGGTTCTAGCTAGCAAGACACATGTTACAGATGTTGCTGCGTTGAGGATTAGAAGAAAGGTAAGAAGATGTGGTGATAGAGATGGTATTTCAAGAGATGAAGGTACGACTTGATAGACGGCGTAGGATGTGATAAGCACAGTTGAGAGAGTCAGAATTCTAGATGCGACTAAAAACCGTCTTCCCTTTGACAATGAGAAACCAAGCAACGTGTAGGAGAGGATAGCTGGGAACAACCACGATGTTACAGATGATAGGCCTAATTGATGTACAATCCCACAGGACAAAATAAGAGTCGTAAAACCAAGTATTATTCTGGCATATATTACCTGAGTTACAGTGTTGTTAAATTGTTCATAGATTCCACGAAGCTGTACCAATGTTGTTAGAAAACAAGGGAGACAGGCTATGAGCAACAATTCTAAAAGGGCAAGGATATTGCCATGCAGTAATGTCATTATGTGTGAAATTAGATATAAGAAAAAGGGAAACCCGACATACACGATAAGAACTGTTGCAGCTTCTGCGTTGCCTAAAATCTGATTTCGGCTCGTCTGCTCTGGGTTCAGTTTGTAGAATGATGATATTGCTGGTTTGAAGAAGATCCGTAGGAGAAGGAAGCCATAGATGACTGCCACGTACAGCGCGACCTTGACTGACGTCAGGTAAGCTAACAGCCAGGTCACGAGTCCTACCGACACTAGAGGATACAGAGAGAAGAGTCCCATCTCTATGGTCTGTGCCAGTTTGGGTTGGTTGTTGACTAAGAAAGGAAACTGGACAAGTCCCCATGCGCCGGTCAGACCAAGGAACATGTTTAGGAGCATCAGCAGCGGAACGTTGAACAAGGAGATCCAGACGAGTGGAAGACAGGAGTACAGGACAGCCATCTGAGCTGCCACAAAGGTGCAGATGTAGGATATTAAAGCATTCTGTTGAGAATCTCCGCTGACCATGAAGTAAATGACCAGAGCTCCAATGGTCAGAATGGCCAGGAGAAGCTCACCGGCCATTGTGAAGATGAAGAGCAGTCCAGGTATGGCAGCTGGTAGGACATGCTTGTTGTAGAGGAAGGATACTGTGGACTTGGCTTCGGGTACCATGGATGTGGACTTGGTTTCACCATGTCGGCTGGTCCCGTCATCTCTGCTTGAATAATTGACATCACTGGTTGGAGCCACTTCAAAGGAACTAGCGGCAGTGCCTCGCTGGTGCGTCATGGCTGTTTGCTTTTATGATGTGGTGTTCCGTTTGTCATAGCTAGAAAGAGAATTAATTGAAAAGCTATGATTAAAAATTATCAAAAATACAAAGTTTCATGGAATTCAACTGTTAAAATAAAAATTTAAGCATGGACAAAACAATTATTGATGTATTTTCTACTGAAGGTGTTATCTCAAGTGGTGAAATGCAGCACTCGTAGTGTATAACTTGCATGTGCTCACTACAAATTTGAGAATAAGCTGATAATAATTTTGACATATAACACATCTACTTGGTAGTACAGCATGGGTTTGATCACTATTTAAAGGGGAAATCCACCTCGATAATAAGCTGGTTTTAGGGAAAAGAAAAAGAAAAAAATGTGAGAAACAGATCGATAAAAGTTTGAGCAAAATCAGATAAAACAGAACAAAGTTATTAATTTTTGAAAGTGTAAACAATCAAACACAAACTAACAACCCTGTGATGTACCTTTTGAGGTTGGAGTAATTTCCATTTACCTCTTGGTTGTTGATGAAGAAATAGATTTGTATCAAATTTAGACCATATGATTTATATATTTCTCAAGAGAAAACATTATGTGTATGTGTATGATTAGGTTTTTACAGACATGTATCAATCATTTATTTACATCTGGGGACCGACCTTTAAAGATACTACGGTATGTCCCTTTTGCAGCCAACATCAATTTCTTTAGAACTTTGCAGGAGTTATGAATATATGTCATGTATGTCCTATCTGTGAAATTTAAACATTAGCAGTGTCCTAGTATTCAAATCTTCTAGACTTCACTGTCAGACACTATTGAGTGACTGACAGACATCCTTTTTTTTCTTTGGTAATAAGTAATAACATACATAAACCGAGCTGTAACATATGTACATGAGCATTTGTCTGTATAAATAACCCACTTCTTGCAATGGCCAAAATCAAACTGATTGAATCTTTGTGCAGCACAAAATGTATGACAATTCGGTAAAAGGATATGAAAATCAGACTATTACTTAGGTGATTGCAATCACTTCAGTTGATTTGACAACTGATGGTCGTTATTTTCCCACTAAAAGCCACTTTCAAGCCCCTTCATTGTGAGGGAAGTTCTAAATTAGTTTGTCTTTCAAATGCCGTTGGAATTTAACCTTTTCATTTTTTGGGCTTGCAAATAGGACATAGACTTAGGCCTAGTACCTTTAATAATTAATGACACCATCCAAGAGGCGTGAGCCAGTTTGTAGGCGAAGACAGAGAGCTGACCAAGTGAACACACCACCAGACCAGCTCGCATCTCCCTTTGGTGTTTCCACCCGCAAATGATATCAACCAATGTCAATGAGCAGTCCCAAAATTGCCATCGTCAGATTGTCTATGTTGATCCATTGTACGTGTGTAACACGTAGGTTTGGCAATTTTCTGTAGTTTGTGTGGATTTGGATAAGTTTTGACTTCAGTCAGCCACATACAGTACATCTACATGTACGTGTGAAATGAGAATGCAAACAAATATTTTTTTACAGCATGTTGTCAGGAGAAACCTTAGGCTTAGCTAGAACTAGACCGAATTTTTTGTCTCTTTCGTTCGTTAGCCTCTTAATTTTATTGGGGTAGGGTCGGCTCTCTCTTTAGAGACCGAAACAGACTATCCCGCGAAATGTGTAGGGTTATGTGGGCAAATCAGAACACCAAACTTGCAAAACTTATCCCCGAATTACTCCTTTCGCAGGATGCATATCTGATGCCTTTTATATTGTAAATTATGTTAAAACTTAACTACTTCGGTTCCACTTACCAACTTGACTGAAATAATCCGTTTAATGGTCCATTTTTACGAAATTATGGGTCAAAATCGATATCCATGATAAAAATCTTGCAGCGGGCGTTTAAACTCTCGCTGCGCATGACGTCATCTAAATCACAACCCTTCTAGTCTACGCCGAAGGCAAAATGATTATAACAGAAAAACTGTCATGTCATTACGAACTCGTCGCTCGTGCACAGTTTTTCCGTTATAATCATTTTGCCTTCGGCGTAGTAGAAGGGTTGTGATTTAGATGACGTCATGCGCAGCGAGAGTTTAAACGCCCGCTGCAAGATTTTTATCATGGATATCGATTTTGACCCATAATTTCGTAAAAATGGACCATTAAACGGATTATTTCAGTCAAGTTGGTAAGTGAAACCGAAGTAGTTAAGTTTTAACATAATTTACAATATAAAAGGCATCAGATATGCATCCTGCGAAAGGAGTAATTCGGGGATAAGTTTTGCAAGTTTGGTGTTCTGATTTGCCCACATAACCCTACACATTTCGCGGGATAGTCTGGTTCGGTCTCTAAAGAGAGAGCCGACCCTACCCCAATAAGAGGCTAACGAACGAAAGAGACGGAAAATTCGGTCTAAGCTAGAACCTGAAACCTGCAGAGTGCCGAAGAAAATAAAACGTCCTCGTTTATGCGGATGATCCTAATTCTCGGACCAGCTGTTCCTGCTTGTGTATAGAAGTTAGAACAGTTTTGCTAGATGCAAACTAGTCTAGGTGAACATTATTAAAATTTAATTGCAACACAAAGCTAAAACCAAAATCCACATCACAAAAGTCAAAACAGCTAGCAGTAGCAGTTAACATTCACACACCACGCCTTTGCCATCCTGCCTTCCTGACCAGATGACCCCACTGAGTCCCCGACGCTTGTCCGTGCCTGTCCGTTGAAATCCCGTAACCATCACGATCGTCTCGAGTTTATTTTTCTTTTATCATAAAACTAAACCTCTTTCATAAATTTTGGAAAATGTTATGAAAAAAATACACACGCATCTATCTAACATAGATATATGGAACCAATAACGATATTTACCATTACGATTTGGTGTAAAATAGCTGACAAACTGCCTTCAGAAATCAGTAGTCGGCATTCTCGAACTCAAATGACGACTATGGTATGTTGGATGACAAAATTTAGAAGGAAAATATACGGGGTGTCTAACTGGAGCTGAAGGTACAAAGATCAAGAGAGTATAACTCCTCGATCATGAAGATGATGGAGATGATAACGACGACGAGGATGACGAGACTGATGATGATGGTGATGCTGAGATCATTGATGATGAGTAGGAGGAGGTGGAAGGAAATAGTGATTTGTTTTCCCCTTACTTTTCTTGCCCTAATCCCCCCCCCCCTCTCCCCCGTAGATACGTTATTGTGTCTAATTATATCTCCTAATTACTTATTAATTGAATGTTACCAGAGGCGGCGGAGGGGGGGGGGGGGGGGGGGGGGGAGGGGCAGTGGGCAGTGTACAGTGGCTTCACGCTTTCGAGTACCCCTGAAATGCCCCTTCATTTTATACTTTAGATAAGTGCCCCTTTTTATTTCTAATGGGTGCCCCGTTCCACATTCATATAAGTGTCTCTTTCCCCCTCTGATAAGTGCCCCCTGCACCTATGACAATTACCCCTATTCAAATTCGAGAGGTGCCCATTTTACTTTAACAAGTGCACTTTTCTTTTGAAATAAGTGCCCCTTCCCTTTATGACAAGTGCCCCTTCTCATCTGATTGCTACTTCTTACCTCTGATATGTGCTTTTTTTTCTTTATAACAAGTGCCATTTTTTGATAAATGCCCCTTTTCTTTTTTTAATAAGAGCCACTCCCCCTTCTCCTAAATACCCCTCTGACACCTCTAATAGATGCCTCTATTAAAATCTCGTAGGTGCCTCTTTTCCTTCGGGACGTGTCCATTTTCCTTCATTGTAATAAGTGCTCCTTTCCATTCTCATCGGAGTGCCTCTTTTCAAACCGAGAGGTGTCCCTTATATTTTGACAATTGCCTCTTTTCCTCTGTATGCCCTATTTTCATTCTTATAAGTGCCCCTTTTTAGCTCCGATGAGTACACTAACTCAAATTTGAGATGTGCCCTGTTTAAATCTGTAATAAGTGCCCCTTTTATTTTGACAAGTGCCCCTTATTCTTTCTACTTAGTGCCGTTTTCCTTCTTATAACTGATTGCCTCTTTTCCTTGTAATAAGTGCCCCTTTTCCGTTATCATAAGTGCCTTATTTTCATTCAGGTGAGTACCCCTTATCGGGTGCAAAAGTGCCCTATTTTCACCTTTGACAACTCCCCTTTTTACTTTTACATGTGCCCTTTTTCTTTTCTGATAAGTGACCTTTCACCATAAAATGTGCTCCTAATCTAAAACGACTAAAGACATTTTTCCTTAATTACAAAAGCTCGCTCATTACGCTCGCTCGCATTTAAAAATTTGAAAAAAAACTATGTTTCTTATTAAAGATCTTTCCCGTCTGTCATGATCAAATTGTGCTTAAAACCCCATTAGAATTGTTTTTCCTCTTTATGAGATGTAATCTTTAGCACTGCGACCTTACAAATCTTTAATTTTGTGCTCGCTCACTTCGCTCTCTCGCAAATAGATATTCAGACAATCCCATCAACTGCAAACTATGATGCTTAATCAGTATTTTGGACCATGTAAATAGAGAATTAAACATTTCAATCACTCTTGATAATGTGATCACAATGTAGGGATATAATACCAATGTCTAAAGATGGTATATTTTCGCGTTGAAGTTTCCCTTTGTAGGTGCCCCCCCCCCCTTTCCTCCAGAAAGTGCCCTCCCTCACCCCCTCCCCCCCCCCCCCATTCGAAAGACACACTGCAACCCCTAAATGTTACACTAAGGTATTTTCCCAAAGATTTAACAGAATGAAATGAACAATAGGCGGGAAGAATAAATCTGTTCTCTAACATATTCGAATTTATAGATGTTTCTTTTCTGGGGAGCTGGTGACGTGTTATTCCATTATGTACGTGTTATTAATGAATGAACTACAATAATTGGAATCCAGTCTGCATACGTTACTTGTTGCTATGTCGGGCAATCCTAGGGCAAGCTTTCAGGTTGTCAAGAACAGCCTTTGTTTAGCAATTATGCATGACATTTTAATATGTTAATACAAACCGGTTTATTGAGGGGCTTGAGCCAATGAGCAACTGAAACGCAGGAGAGTAACAATTGTTAATTGGGGGGGGGGGGTAGATATGCCTATATGAATGTCACTTGAATCGTCTGGGCATATATCCGCGAGATCCCCTCTTGTTTTAATCCCCCCCCCCCATTTAGTGTTATTTAGGGTACGCATATGCGTGTTCCCAGCACCCCCCCCCCCCACCCCCTTTCAGCGAAAGTCCGGTGTGTAAAGTTAATACGGGGAGACCTTTTTCTTTTGTTACGAGCCGGAGATTTTGGGAACACGCATGATATCCCTCCGTTCCCGGAGTGGGGGGGGGGGGGCATCTCTTCCTATCTCCCTCCTTTTCCCTGCCTCTGTCCTCTGTTTATATGTCTCACCGTTTAATCTCTTTTATATGATAGCCGAGAAATATACGTTTTGCTACCTTTTACAAGTATCTTGTCCAATCTCTTTGCAACTGAATTTGTGTCAGTCTGCTAACAGTAAAGATTCTTGAGATAAAGAAGAAAAAATCGCGAGGCATATGCAAAAATGAAAGCAAGACCCATTAACCCCCTCAAGTATTGTATTGCATTGAAACAAAATACGAAGTATCTGTTTCCTAAAAGAATAACATTTAACTCGCATTCTCAAAATGTTCCTCTTTTCATCATGCAGCAGTTTAAGATAGATAGATAAGGTAATTCAAATACAATTTATTGAAGGGCTTTTCATTTTTACTTGAAATATTGTTTTCCAATATCCGGCCCATTTTATTCGGCAATTGTGCGTACAAATAACCTCTGCAGCTAAGTTGGTATCCTGAATTATAGCAACCGATGAAGACCAGATCGAATAGTACAACATCAGAAAGTCGTGGAATATTTGTGCTACTTGCAAATTTATTGATTTCATTTAGCATTTAAGAAACAATTAAGACACTTCATTATGAATTGATATCCATTCACATTTCAATAAATGAAATCTTATTATGTTTTGTATACTAATATAAGTTCAACTTGAAATGTAGTCAACGATTGAACCCATAAATTATAATTATCAAAACAGCAAACACTGCAATAATTTCATGATTTGTCTGTGTATACTGTTTTTTTTTTTCTTCAAAAAACTTGTTTCCATCTTGATCACAGCCCATTAATGACTTCGTTGATGAGCAAGCTTAGAACCTCACCTAAAATGGTGTTTCATATCAAAGATTATATACCTGCTTTTAGTGACCACCTGTCTACAAAGACCATCTGTCTTCAAGGACATTTTTTGTTTCCCTTGAAAATGGTTTACAAAGACCACAGGTTTGACTGTATTTTGACAGACAACACAAATAGAAATTCCGAATGAATAAAATATTAGAACAGTACTTATAGGAAATAGTATTATATCACCTTAAACATCCATATACGGTACATAACATCCTATTGTGGCGGAAATCGGGTTGGGGTTATGTGTGAGACTGGGTGGTGAAGATGTTGATTTGGGACATGAGAGGGCGGTCTTATATTGTGGTAAAGTCATTGGGTTAGTTTTAGTACTGAGGGAACGAGATGGGGCACATGTGCCCCATCTCGTTCCCTCGTTCTCATGTCTCTCTTCTCACACACTCCCTCTCTCCTTTAATTTTCGTGGTAGCGAGCGGCCAGTAAAGCAACAGTGGGCCGGAGATTATTGAACTATACACGACTTGATATTTACTCTGTAATAAGGGTACTGAGAGCCAGATTTACGGTGCAACTATAGATTGGAGCCTAAAAGCTTCCCTTTTATTTGTGTAATGCATACATCCAACTTTTATATTCATCGCTATATACTAACACATATAATAACATAACATCTTCAATACAACTTATTAATTCATGGGCATCGCAGTGCCCGCTACATTAAGATCCTAAGTTCGAAAAGTGATAAAGCATACTGAGAGAACTGGAGTGAGCACAGGCACCCAATGTTGTGGACTATATAACCCTTGACCCAAAACAGTATATAACTGTCACTAATCCTTACTAATCCCTTTGATTGAGACTGGGAAATAAACATAGAGGGGGAGGGGACGAGGTGAACCAGAAGCTAGGGGGACTGTTATACGAGCTTTACTCTGTAAACAAGCTATACCCTGCATTAATTAGTTCACAGTACCCCAACTCCCGAATGAAAGCTTAACCCTTGTGTAATTTAGATAAGGTCCCTATAGTCTCTAATTAATCTTTATCGGCTGGGGCGGTTCAACAAACACCACGGAGAAAGGAGTAAGCAGGGGAGAAGGAAGGGGAACTGTTATATGCGAGCTCAACTCTGCAAACAAGTTTCCTCTTAAGCCTCTCTCTGCACACCATCCTCACCCTATGAGTGTAAGCTACACGCCCCGGTTTAGCTTGAGTAACGTTTCCCTAACTATGCCCCTATGTATTCTATGTGGTATATATACAACTGAGCAAACACCGAGGCCAAGGAGGGAGGACAGGTATGAGAGACAGGGAACTGATACCGCGAGATTTACTCTGCAGTCAGATACCCCATGGTCGATCTCCCCTGTTCATCACCTGCCGATTGGACCACGGTGTAGCCTCCCTCAGGCGCGTACGCAGGGGGGGGGGGGGGGGGGGGGGGGGTTGGGGGGTTTAACCCCCCCCCTTTGGAAATTTTTTGTGTGTAAACCCCCCTAAAAAAAACCTAAAACCCCCCCCCCCCCTTTTGGATTTTTTTTTTTTTTTTTTTTTTTTTTTTTTTTTTTTAATTATTAAAAAAAAAAAAAAAAAAAAAAATTATTCCCATGGCCGACCTAAAAAAGGTGACCTTACCCCCCCCCCAACCGAGCAAAATGTCAAATTTCCAAATTTCGAGACCAAAAAAAAAAAAAAAAGTGTCCTCTTACCCCCCCCCCCCCCCCCCCCCCCCCCCCCCCCCCGCTTATTCAGCGGTCGGCTGAGTCGTTGCGATTTTTTTGGGACCAAAAAAAAAAAAATGTGTCCTCTTACCCCCCCCCCCCCCCCCCCCCCCCCCCCCCCCCCCCCCCCCCCGCTTATTCAGCGGCTGGCTGAGTCGTTGCGAAATTTTCGGACCGATTTATAAATGTTAAAACCCCCCCCTTGAAAAAATCCTGCGTACGCGCCTGGCCTCCCTTAATATTCACTAAGTTTATTTGGACCCCGGCTTAACCCTTTTTGGAGATTGGGGGGGGGCCTGCGTACCCATAACGGGAGAGGGAGGAGACTGAGAGGATGACCGGCGACAGTGGCAACCAACGTCAACATCAACACGGGTACAGTTAGCAAACGCCGAGGCCGAACAGTAGGAATGACAGGTTTTTCGTTATAGAGACACAACGAGGGAACTGAACTGCGAGATTTACTCTGCAGCCAGGTACCCCGCGGACTCCTCCCTGTACATTGCATACCAAACCAAGGTGTAGCTTCATTGTAGGTGTTGACTAGATTGGGCCGCTGCCTCCTGATCCGCCGTCTCCCCCCTCATCCCCGAGATGGTATAGCTTGTACCTAGTTAAGTTGGGATGCCTGGCTTCTCAGTCTCTGCGATTATATTAGATATGGCTCGGTTCTCCTCCTTTCTGCTTCTGAGTGTCTAACTGCCTTCTTAGCTAAAATTCTACCTTATTTATACTTTTCCAGCAAGCCCCTATATCCTCCAAAGCATGGGAATACATCAGGTTTGCAAAAGAGTTACTTCTGCCTATTACATATTATATACATTTTAGTATGACTTTCCCATAAGGAGCTGTACTAAGCGAGTGCAACTAATCTCTCCTATATAAACAACAGGGCTGAAAATAGTGTAATTAGGCCGGACCTCGTCACAGCCTTCCTTGTCTTAAGATCCCTTCGACTATAATAGTATACTTTAACCCATCCCTTGCTTATACTACAATATTACATGACCTGAGGCTGGGAGCAGGGCTGTGTGGCATGAAAGGGGTTACTAAAAATAGGCACAGGCTTTCCTTGTCTGGAATTTGTCAGTGAAGTTAAAAGAGATTATTTAACCCTCTACTCTATGAGGCGCCGTTTGTAAAACAATTATATAGACAAATTATATGTTATATAATCATTATTTAACAAATAATAACCATTATTTACATATAATGCAAGAAAATGTACATTTTTATTTGTATATAATTCTTAACACATTTTTATTATTTATAAATAATGACAAAGAACGTTTCATTATTTATATATAATTGCCATTATTTATAAATAATTACAATTCACACTTTCATTATTTATATATAATAAAAAGCGTATTTCAATTATATAATATATAATGAAAAGCACATTTCCATTATATAATATATAATGAAAAGCCATTTCCATTATATAATATATAATGAAACGCACATGTCCATTATATAATATATAATGAAAAGCGTATTTCCATTATATAATATATAATGAAAAGCACATTTCCATTATATAATATATAATGAAAAGCGTATTTCCATTATATAATATATAATGAAAAGCACATTCCATTATATAATATATAATGAAAAGCACATTTCAATTATATAATATATAATGAGAGGCGTATTTCCATTATATAATATATAATGAAAAGCACATTTCCATTATATAATATATAATGAACAGCGCATTTCCATTATATAATATATAATGAAAAGCGCATTTCCATTATATATTAAATAACGATTGTGTATGCAAATGTCAATGGTTGGTAACGCCCATAATATGAATATTCATGAGCTTGACTGATATTATTATCCTCTATTCCAGGCACCTTTCCATTTTGTGTTCTTTGTGCATTCTTATCAGAAATCCTACGTGCGGTAAATAAGTCTCTGTATCACCATTCTCCTTCTTATTTGTATGCAGATTTGGTTATAATGATTGATAACTGTAATCATCCTCATTATTTTAATAAGAAATTTTTCTATCTGTGATGGAAGTTTTTATGTACGATTGCCTGATCTGAAGACGAGACTTTCGCTGCATGCATATTTAATGTATGACGTCACCCACACAGAGTGAGAGCTCGAGGTTTTCTTTGAAAGTTTGATGGTGAGTACAGCTGTAATTACGTTCAAATCTCGTAAATTGAATCATATTTATAAACATATCTGCTGTAGGTATGAATCTGCTGATTTGTCTGTACATTGTGAAGTGGTTTAAAATGGTTATATCTGATGAATTTAGGAGTAATCTACACTCGAACTTTTGATTCGTTATTTATCGTCGTGAGAATATTTCAGCTCGATTGCCATCGTCACTCCTTGATCCTTGGCCCAAACTTTCGGGCGAGACCCTCTCTGAAAATTAGATACGAGTATAGGGTCTATAGGCAGATCACTTCACTAGCGCTAGCTGCATCAATGATCCAAGCTTTTTGTTACTTTTAGGTCCAACTGTTGAAAAACTACTTTCATAGTTGGGTCAGAAGAAAGTTAATAGCTAACACTAAAAAGCATGGTCACAGTTGACATGAGTTGTGAACAAGCGCCAAAATTTGGACCAGATACCGAGATAGTTAGACGAGTACGAGAGTAGAAAATTTGAGGCCTAGGCCTACAGACCAGTAAATAATTGGACTACCTGTGAACAGGCGCGGATCCAGGATTTCTTAGGGGGAGCCCAAATTTGAAAAAAATCTGCACCACCCCACTCTTTCATGCAGGTTCCGCTAAACGTTTCTCTAAGTAGGTGAAGGGGGGGGGGGGAGGTATTTACGATCAAGTAGAGTCTAGAGCGTTGTGAAATTGGCGTGGTGTCTAAGGGCAAAGAACGTGCGGGGGTCAAGGGGTGGAACCCCCAGAAGCTCAGGGGTATAGGCATTTAATTGCGGTCAGATGAGCATATTAGCATAACTTATTTGTGACACTGGCAGGACACTAATTGGCGTCACTATTCTTTCTTTCTTTATGAATTTGCCATTGTCCCACAAACGCATTAAAAAGTATAATTTATTAAACATTAAGGAAAAATCTCGGAAAATTATGTCATTTCAGTAACATTTGTAAATCACCGGTAATCACCGGTATCGAATTAGAAATAAACCACGTTTGAATTATATTTGGAGGGCATCTGTCAACCCCCCCCCCCCCCCCCCCCCAAGTCCCCTTCCCCATCAGTACGCCAGTGCCCATCCCCCCCGATCTACACGTAACTGATCTCCCCTACCTTTCTTCTTTCTCTTTTTTTCTTTCCCTTTCTCTCCTATTTCCCTTTCCTTTCCCTTCCTACTCTCTGTTTTAGGTTTGCTAGGGGGAGGCAAGGGCCTTTTGGCCCCCCCCCCCCCCTCCCCGATCCACACATTGTTGGCGGGATTAATCGCAACTTTTCTCCCCTTCTTATCTCTCTTTTCTTTTCTTTTTCCTCTTTTTTGTTCCCTTTTAGCTCTCCTCTATCCCTTTCCCTTTCCCTTCCTTCTCCTTTTTTTTTTTTGGGGGGGGGGGGGGGGGGGGGAGGGAGGGAGGCAAGGGCCTTTGCCCCCCCCCCCCCGAACTACAACTTGTTGGCGGGAAAATTGCAACTGATTTCCCCCTTCTTTTCTTCTTCCTCTTTTTTCCTTCTCTTTATCCCCTCTTTACTTTTTTTCTTTCCCTTTCCTTCCTTCTCTTTTATTTTTTGATGGGGGGAGGGGGAGAGGTTACAGCTGGGAGGCAAGGCCCTTTCGGCCCCCCGATCTCCTTTTCCCCATTTTCTTTTCTTCTTCCTCTTCTTTCTTTCCCTTTCTCTCCTTTTTTCCTTCTTTTCCTTCTCTCTCTCTCTCTCTCTCTTTTTCTCTGTCATATATAGATCTAGGTCTATTTTGCGTTTTTTCAATTTGATAGAATGAACAGTTACAAGACATGCATCTAGATCATCTAGAGACTGTAGATCAACTAGATCTGGATCAAGGAATTGAATATAAATTTCAATGTTAGATAATGAAGGAGGGCTTTTTTGGTAAAGAGAAAATCCAAATTAAAATAGAACAGTTAATTCTGCAAATGCTCATCAATGTTTAAATGATCATGCTCATTTCCTTTTATTCTAAGAATTAAATCCCCCCCCCTCTCTTTTACAGGAAAATGTACAGAGACACTTGTCGCAGTTAATGCATGCAGTACCAAATGCTTGCTTTCTTGGAGTATGTGCTTGAAACAAGAATGTCCTGGAGAAAACAGACCACCACAAGAGAAGGTAAACATATTTACTTTTGATCTAACTTGATCTGTTTATTTTTTTTCAAGTAAAACAACATTTTGAAATGAGTGAGGTCAAGGCCAAGCTGGAGGGGATGCAAAGGGCTGGTTTGAGAAGTATGTATTAATGGGATGGCTATGTATGATTCCACATGAAAAAATTTGAGGCCTAGGCCTACAATGTACATGCAAGACATTTTTATGTTACAACAGAGATACATGTATGATGTAGGTATCAATGTTTAACTTTCATATTTTCTCTTTTCATTCAACAGACATACATGTACAGTATGGACTATGAAGTTCTACTTAGCCTCTTCAATGAACTGCTGTAGCTGTGACTGGGTATCAAAACCTTGGTATTATAAACTTCATAACCAGTGGCGGAGATATGTTGTTAGCTAGGGGGAGGGGTCAGTGCCCCCCCCCCCACTTTTTCAAGTACCCCCAGTATGCCCCTTTTATGGCCTTTTCACATAGGTAAAGTGCCATATTACTTTGACAAGTTCCCCTATTAATTTGTAAAATTGCCCCTTCCCCATTTCACCTCTGATAAGTGCCCCTTATCCTTCGACAAGTTCCCATTATTCTATGCAATAAGTGTTCATTTTCCATTCTCATAACTGCCCTTTTTAATCTCTAGTAAGTGCCCCTTTTCAACTACGAGAAATGCCCCTTTTCACTTTTGATAAGTGCCCCCTCCATCTCCTGATTAGTGCTCTTTTCATCTCTGATGAGTGTCCCATTTTGTCTCTAATAACTGCCACTTTTATTTGACATGCCCCCTTTTCCTTCCTAATAAATGCTCTTTTTTCTGATCATAAGTACCCCTTACCCTTCTCATAATTACCCCTTTTCATCTCTCATAAGTGCCTTGTTTACTTTAACATGTGCCTCTTTTTCTTTTTAATAAGAGCCACTTCCCCGTTCTCATAATAGCCCCCTTTCACCTCCAATAAATGCCCCTATTAAAATCTGATCTGCACCTCCCTTTTTGTCTCGCCTACGAGCAAAAAGTGAGACATAGGCGCTGCTTTTCCGGTGACGGCGTCAACATCAAAAACTTAACCTAAGGTTAAGTTTTTGAATTTTTGATATAATTTTCAAAGTTTAAGTTTTTAGTCAATGAAACTTAGACTATAGGGTTATCAAGTATTCCCAATCACGTGAGAATTCCCATTCTGATAAGTGCCTTTTTTCATTCCTGGTGAGTGCCTCTTTCTGTAGGTCTAAGAACTGCCCCATTTTCACCTCTGATAATTACCCTTTTTACCTGACACATGCTCCTTTTCCCCTTATCCCTGTAGTGTCCCCTTTTCCTCTCATCATTAAACGCGCCCCTAATTTCAAGCGACTAAGAGTAAGTTCCCCCAAAGCTCGCTCGCATTTATAGATGATATAATTACGTTACTTATTAAAGGTCTTTTCAGTCTTCCATTGTGAGAATGTGCTTATAACCCCATCAGGATTGGGTTTTTCCCTCTTAATAAGATGCAATTTTTTGTACTGCGACCTCACAAAACTTAAAATTTTCCTCGCTCGCAAATCAATTTTCATACCATCACACCAAACTGATACTTAAGCAATATCTTGTATGGTGTATAAAGAGAAACAAATGTTGAAATCGTCCCTGATAATGTAATCACAATGTAGGGGTATATACCATTGTCTAAAAAAATGGATATTTTCGCTTTGAGATTCCCTTTTTTTTCCAGAAAGTGCCTATTTTGTAGGTGCCCCCCCCCCCCACTTTGGAAGACGCTCCGCCACTCCTGGGGGGACACATCAGTCAAAAGTGCGCACAGGGGGGGGGGGGGGTTGAGGGGTAATGTGCCCCCCCTCCGAAGCTGAAATTTTTTAACCTGGATTTGGTCAAACTCCCAATAGATAAATATCATTCACAATTCTCTTCAAGCAGTACGTGTAACTTCACCTTGCAAGCAGTATGTTTAATTTTTTAATCACCTTGTATATAAGGCCCTGTATTTCAGCTCAAATTGTTTAGTGATTGTGGACAGGCGAAGCAGGAAAGTAGAAAATTTGGCCTTCATACACACAACCACACCAGTGACACCATGAAACAGAAACACTATTACAATGATTACCGGTACTGAAACATAGTTTTCAAACTACCAAGGAGAGGTAACCAGGAACCAAGGTATAATACAATGATGCAATTTTACCCATGTTGTAGTAGTACATGGTAGTAGTAACTATGGATATCCCGCCTCTTCTTTTATGCACATCCTTTCCACTGCTATCGCAAGATTTAAAAAAAGGGCACAATGTCTGCATAACTAAGCAAGGTAGGAGTTCATTAAAAACATGATGTAAAACATTAAGTATATCACACCAAAGCATCTCAATCTGACAGCACGATGTGGAGAAAAGTTAATGGTGTAGATAAATACACAAGAAATATGTTCATCGGCAGTCTAAGTCAATCATTTATAAAACTGAGGCTTTGCCAAGGCATCCATTTTAAGTATGTGTCTATAGGGCAAATAAGATGTAGTCAAGTACTCAAGTTACCACCTGTCAGCCAAGATCAAACTTTTGGAATATAAGAGTTTTGGGGAGGGGTCATCTTTTATCAATTTCTGTTTATTGATAATAATTATAACATTTGGGAATGGGCCTATGAGTATGATTTATATATTGTATAAAACAAGCAACTGTTAATAAAAGGTCTGATATACCTTGGCGCTTGTGTGGACCACGAAGTAACCATCACACTAAAGGATGTTATATACTATTGTACAGTATTATTGTTTTTCTGGAAAAAATTGCAATCATTGAGTCATAGGTATTTTTTATTTTTTTTAAAGAAATCAGCATGTTTTTATAATGTGTTTTATAATAAGGGTGCAGGTCATGATACAATACATTCCCTGGAGAAAAAAACAGTGCTCAGATTTAGCCTAAGTATGCTTTGTTGAATTTTTAAAGAAAAAAGTAAGCTACAATGGAAGTAGCAGATGAGGTCATTTGTGCTTAATATTTTACCATCAATGTTATAATCTGTAAACATATTAGTTTGTTGTAATAAAATGAATAAATTAAACATGTTTATTATCTTATATACAGTATTCTCTTCATATCTTTTCTTTTTAGTGTGCATATATGGTTGGATAAATGGAATCATATGTGGAAAAAATCTGGAAACAGAACGTGAGAGTTCAGAGAGAGAGAGAGAGCAAAAGAGAAAGGAAAGGAAATGAGAGAACTGTTTAATGGTGAGAGATGTTGATGTCGTGAAAATGAAAAATTTATAATGCAGTGAGACAGCGAGAGAAAAAAAAAATTAAAAATCCATCTTATAAATGCGTTAATCGCCTCGCCGCTATGCGGCTCGTGGGCGATGCTCTGCATCGTCATAGGGACAACCCCCCCCCCCCCCCCCCCTTAGCAAAAAGCTAGATCCGCCCCCCCTAATAGGCCCTGACAATGAAATCTGGAGAACATACAGATTCACAAGGGCTGGACTACTCGGTCTCGTGGATCAAATAAAGAAATAATGGAAGTTATTATAAAAGTATGTTTTTCTCTCTTGTTATGATAATTGGAGAAAAAAACCCTGTTAATTAGATTATATTAGTTTTAGCTTCAACTGTTTGATATTAATATGCATGTGGGCACAAATAGCAGCAACTACGGTAAGTGATATCTACGGTATTCCTTGAGCTGCGGTAAATGATCTTATTGTATATATGCCACTTACTGGTTTTCCATAGACCTGTGCACAAATGTTATCATATAATGCTATTTTAAAAAAATTCAATAGGATGGTGTACAAATCGAATATATTATGCCATTCTTTCCACTTAACTTCATGTTATTCAATATCCGTGTCATTCAAACAATACAGGCAAACATTCCCTGATGTCATTAAGTTTACATCAATCTATCTTGCTTCTCTCCTTATAAACAAGCCATCTTCATTGGAATTCACATCCTGAATTCCAATGAAGATAGACATCTCTCTTGCATTGTACATGAAATATCCATTCACTGATCTCCGCACGAAGTACCCTCAATTTTACGCACAGAAAGCTCACACTAACCCGTAACCAAAACCACCCTGAAATGATGACAATATTCAAAAGATCAATTCATTTGTAATCAAGTGTGGATTTTAATTCATTTGATCCCTTGATAGTCTGGGTTCGGTATACCGAAACAGGGGAGGGAGCAGCTTGTGGCGTGGAACCATAAGGACCAATGAGGTTCTTTTGGGACATAGTTTATATAAAATTACCAAGCTGAATCCTACCCTAATACCAGTCACATAAATCAATGCTCAACTGAGTATTTGTTGCATTTTCCTCAATCATGACTTGTTGAGTTTTGTGCAGAAGTGCTACAATCCATTGTTTGAGAATGTATATAGCGAGTAGTCCAAATCAGGAGGGTCGCAAACTCCTTCTCAACCTCCATTGTTACATCTTGATTCCTGAAGAGCCTTGTGATTTGAGATGAACTTGGGAGAAGTTCCCACGTTGTTTCGGAGGCACACGCTCCTTGTGCTGACTGCTCCTCTTCAGCAACTACTACAGACAAGTCCACTTGTATCTTTGTAACCTATTCCAATAAGCCAGCTGTTCATGAATAAAATGTTAATTGAAAGAAGAAAAAAAAATCCAATATTGTTACAAGCACTTTAAGATCTAAAGCTGACATCACAAGTATATTTCTTTTTCTTCTTTCTTGTTGTTTTTCTTCTTCTAGTAATCTTCAAAGGGCTATTAGTTTTATATAAATTCACTGTTTGCTCAACAGGAGTACATTCCTTATTTTCCGTGCCAACGAGAGATCCCAGATGAAATACCATATTGCCAAACATGTATTTTATTACTAATATACTACATGTCTGAGTAAAAGATCTAATCAAACATTCCGACCATTGTTTTAAAGACCGTCAATACTACTGGGCCAGAAGGGATTAGACCACCCAGCCAGGTCACTGACAGGTGGCTATCTCATCAACTCAGCTCTCAACTAACATAAGAGAGGATCATGGGGGACCAACAGACACCGATTGGGGAAGTTTTCTATATAGAGAGAGCAAGTAGGACAGTGGGGCTTTAAGAATAGCAATTAGCATTCATAGAAATGGCATAGAATTTACATCCTTAAACTTTAAGCTTTGAAAACCTCGTTTTGATTTGAGTGTAACTTTTGAGTTATTAACAACCAAAAGTTTCCAGTGATTTGTTTTTGTTTCACTTTTAGTACACAAACATATTTTTCTTTATCACACTTGCAGGATATAATCATATAAGATAATTTGATCTTGTACTGCTAGGCTGCCCCCCCCCCCTCCCCCTCTATTATACGAGTGTGAAAAAAGAATACAATTCTTTGTAGCCTTTCTTAATCACTAATCAAAATTTTGAACTTTAGTTAATGTTGTTTAAAGAATATATTATGAAAGTGAGATGGATTGCAGGTGGCAAGGGTGTATTGGTTGAGAATTGCAGGTAATAATTCATGCTCTACTATGAGCCAACTTACTTCACACACTATCATCTTGCAGCAGGGTAAGGTTTTTACAGAAATTTTAGAACTTGCAATGGGATGTACTTAAATATCAACTTT